AAAGGACAGGAAAATGGGTTGAGCTGTCCCTTCCCTTTCTAATGCCACAGGAAAGGGATATTTCTCTGGCCAGCACTTCTCCCCTTCCTCCATGTCCAATTTCTCTTTGGGAAGTGGAGTAACATGTTAGCATGTTAATATACTCCATAATCAAAATCTCAAAGTGTAACTATTCCTGAATTTGCTATTGTTTATAAAAACATTAGTTTCAGTTTTACCACCAGGGGGCAGCAGAGAGGATCTTACTGCAAATAGTGATTAGAGACAGCAGTTTCTCCTCTGTCTCTCTCCCTCCCTCCCTCCCTCCCGCGCTCCGTAAGTCCATTTCTCTCTCTCTCTCCAAAACAGACAAACTGGCGTTGTAAGAGTGCCCAAATGGAAGAGTGAGTGAACAAATGAACAGATTTAGGAAGTGTGGTAAGAATGCGAGATATATTAGAGTTAAGACAGAGTAAAAAAATAGGTAGCAAAGTAATTTGCTACATAATTAAAAGAGATTTGGAGTGAGATTACTTGGGCTTGAATCCTATTTCCATCACTTACTAGCTGTGTGATTGGACATTTTACTTAACCTCTCTGGCTCTAGTTTCCCCAACTGTAAAATGGGGATAATAATGATTTTACTTCACAGGGTTGTTGAGATGGTTAAATGAGGCCATGTTATAAAATGCTTAAAACAGGACTATTTACTATGGACATGACCAGTGAGGTCTAGCATTGATATTTTTAACAAAATATAAGAATATAAGATATGGTTATTAATTTCTCTGTTCTGGTTTTACTTGTTTGTTTGATATTTGTATTTGTATTTGATAATACAATTTATTTTCAAATATTATTTCTAAATTTTTTTTGTACAATTTATGAACTTATTTTGAAAAATAATAATTACCTCTTATCTATGTTTTGTCTAACTTAAAGGAGAATTATGGAGATATAACATCAACTTTATGGTGGAAGTGAAATTTTCAAGGTAAATATCAATGACATAGTCAAATGTAAAAAATAGAAATACATATTTTGTTAGGCTCTTTTAAGTTACTCATCAGTAATGATTTAGTGATTATGCATGGAAGAAGATCCAGGACTTCAGATAGGTCTTCAGAGCAGGATCAGGGAAGATTGCAGAGAAGTGAATTAGAGAATAGGGAAATAGGATGTGGCTAGGAGAACAGCCATTTTATGCAATCATATATTGAATTATAGTGCCTCTGTCATAACCATGAGGGCGGGGAGGAAATAAAATAAGGAGTGGAGTGTTATAGAGTTTGAATTATTTTAAATTCTTCACGTTGGGCGTTGTTCTTTATACTCCATGAAATAGTTATATTAGCACTTGGGTAGTGGTAGGACAGGGTAAACTGAGAGACTTGGGACTAAGTGTTTAGTAGCACATGTGAGTTTGTGTGTACATGTGTATATACACATGCAAGTTCAGTTCAGTTCATTCATTCACTCAGTCATGTCCGATTCTGCGACCCCATGAATCGCAGCACGCCAGGCCTCCCTGTCCATCACCAACTCCTGGAGTTTACTGAAGCTCATGTCCATCAAGTAGGTGATGCCATCCACATGCAAAGGGAAGGGCACATCAGCCCACATATCTAAGCCAGAATGTTCACAGAGAGTAAAAATGACAAGGCAAGTAGGTATTGGCTGATTTCTGCAAGGATGCACATCCAGAGAATTCAGCTAAGGAAGGAAGGGCAGGCAGGGACTTCAATTCTAGGCAGACAAGACTCAAATCCAAGAGGCAAAAGAGCAGGCAATGGAGAACAGGTGTCAGAAGTAAAAGGCTATTAGAATCTGTGCAGTAAATATTCAAGATCCATGCAAAGCCATTATATAATGGAGAGGGGTACCAAGGGCAAGATGACAACATCTTAACTGGTTTCAGTTGTGGGCTAAGCATGACTCTGACATTGGAGACAAAGAGATATACACCTTCCTAAAAGAAGTTTACTTCAAAAGTATTTATAGGCAGATAAATAAATTTTTTGAATAAATCAACAGTACAAATTTGGGGGCATTATGAGAAGGAAATGGCAACCCACTCCAGTATTCTTGCCTGGAAAATCCCATGGACTGAGGATCCTGGTAGGCTACAGTCCATGGGGTTGCAGAGAGTCGGACACGACTGAGCAACTTCACTTCACTTCATGTCTTAAAGCAGCTCTAACTTGTTAAAGTTTACTAGGCCTTTTGTTTTGGCCACTGCAACGTTAACCAGCATGACACTGTTCTGTTTGTCTCTTGTGTGCACTGATTCATAGTATTAAAGAGGAGTTGGAAGACTGCTGGAGCAAAAGGTTTGAGTTTCTGGCTTGAGGGGTATGTTTTTCTTGATCTTCCATCATTTGCTCTGCTTTTGGGGACCCAAGGGGCACACCTAAGGAGAATCTGAGTCCTTTATATTTTTCAGAGATGTGCATATACTAGACAAGCACATATTTCTCTTATTCTATTGACTTTCATGGCATATCTTTAGTGCATGGTTATGCTAACAAGCTCTTGGTCTCTTTATTGCTTTGTATAAGAGGTCAAGGTGGGAGCTGGGGGGTTAGGGGAATGGGATTTTGGGATGGAAGGGATATAAGAGTGGGGAGAGAGGGTCTCCTCCCTCCAAATGTATTCTGAGAATTCTATGGGTTTTCACACCACTCACTTGACTTTTAAAACGCTGACTGTACATTGTGGTCAGATCTGAGATGAGCGCGTCTTTAAAGTTGTTGCCTGAAATTTCAAGCCAGAGGAGTTAGAGTGGAAAGAATGGAGGGCTGGCAAATATGAAATATGAGTTTTACTCCCTGCTGTGTCAAGTCAGTTTGGGACCGCAGGCAGATCATGTAATCCTTTTGTGTTCTGGTTTGTCTGTGTCATCGAAAAGGCATTAAAATGAAGGATCATCAAGAATTTTTGCTGACCTGAGAAAATGGTCATGTCAATATAATATTAAATGGAAAAGGAAGGTAATAGACTTGATTAAGAAACTTGCCCAGTATCATCCAGCTGCTGCTGCTGCTGCTGCTGCTAAGTCGCTTCAGTCATGTCTGACTCTGTACGACCCCATAGACAGCAGCCCACCAGGCTCCCCCGTCCCTGGGATTCTCCAGGCAAGAACACTGGAGTGGGTTGCCATTTCCTTCTCCAATGCATGCAAGTGAAAAGTGAAAGTGAAGTCGCTCAGTCCTGTCCGACTCTTTGAGACCCCATGGACTGCAGCCTACCAGGCTCCTCCGTCCATCGGATTTTCCAGGCAAAGAGTACTGGAGTGGGTTGCCATTGCCTTCCCCATATCATCTAGCAGAGAGATTCAATCCAGTGCCTCTTCTAGTATTCCAAGTTTGCAAACACCTGATTTCACTGCCTTAATCAAACTGACTCACTGGAAGAAAAGCTTGAGAAGGGGCAGAGAGGAAATACATATATTACTGTTTGGCAAGAGGCAAGATGGAACTGCTAGCTTAAAAAAAAATGCATGTTGTTTAATTTTTTCCTGTTTGCAATGGTTTCTTCCCCTTCCTGGAGAGTTTTGCCTTGTAGTAGGGAACTCTTAGCACAGAGAGGAGTTTTTTCCTCCTAAACGTAATCTAAATATATATGAATAGTAACATTAAGACAGTTTTCGTTTTTATTTTTTTTGGAAAATCTAAATTTCAGATGTGTGGCAGCTAAACATGAGTATTTATTTGTAGTTTGATTCATAGGACACATTCTAGCTCTTCAAACATGAAAGTGAATGGAAATAAGTACCAAATTGTGGTAGACAGAATAATGCTCCCCTACAAGATATCCCTCATAGCTTAGTTGCTAAAGAACCTGCCTGCAATGCAGGAGACCTGGGTTCGATTCCTGAGTCAGGAAGATCCCCTGGAGAAGGAAATGGCAATCCACTCCAGTATTCTTGCCTGGAAAATCCCATGGACAGAGGAGCCTGGCGGGCTACAGTCCATAGGGTCGCAAGAGCTGGACAAAACTTAGCGACTAAACCACCACCATACAAGATATCCATGTCCTAACCTCTGAAACTTGTAAATGTGTAGCCTTACACAGGAAATGGGACTTTGCAGATGTGGTTAAGTTACGGATTTTGAGATGGGGAGGTGATCCTGGATTACTTGGAGGGTCCAATATAATCGCAAAGGTCTCTATAAGAGGGAGGCAGGAGAGTTACCATCAGAGAAGATGTAACAAAGTGGTGGGAATTATGCAGCCATGAGACTCAGAGTCTAAGTGGCCCCTAGGCAAAGAACAGATTCTCTCAGATGTCTAGAAAGAATGCAGCCTTGACAATACCTAGATATTAGCTCTACAGGATCTATTTTGAACTTCAGACCTCTAGAACTGTAGGGTGATTAATCTGTGTTGTTTTAAGCCACTCAGTTTGTGGTAACTTATTACAGTAGTAATAGGAAAATAATACATTTATGATGCTTCTAGAGTTGTGTGTGACTCCCAAAATCACACAAGAATTTTCAAGCAAAAATCTTTTGTTTCAAGCTTGGTACCTAAGACTGTACACCTCTTCAACCTGGAGATAACTTTTAAAAGTTACAATGAAATTTACAGGGATGGGCCAAATATAGATAAATATCTTGTTTTACCTTTTAAACCAAGTTTAGACAAATCAGTTTGTCTTGGGCACATTCAGTGCCTTACTGTAGAGTTTATCTGTGTATAGCAGAAGTAAGAGGAGGACCAATGAGCTGAAAGATAACTCAATCAATCCGCTTCCTCTGTTTTTGCTTCAGTGCTTCATACAGGAAATCTATTTCTGTGTCAAGTTCCAGAGAAGTTTCTTCTGTTCCAAGTTACTAATCTGGCTGAAACACATAGAGTTGAAGGAAGAGGCTAGGAGAAAGAAGTGCTGTGCTGCTAATGGGCTAAGAAGATCCAGTACGGAAGAGTCAATCAGACAGAGCCTCACCATGTCCACAGCTCCTTTTACACCTGTTTTGAGGAACAGTGCTGAGTGAAGGGCACAAAATAAGGAAACAGAAATGCCCTGCGCTTGGATAACTTCTGATCTTCAGCTACAACTAATTTTGACTCTCTTCTTAGTTGCAGGTGAGTTTGAATTTTCTTTGGGAGGGTAACAGGAGAACGACAGGTGAGAAACCTGGTCACAGCTTTTCTTGAGCTTTCTTTGCCTTTCTTACGGGGGCAGAGCACAGCAATTACAGTCAGAGTTATGGGGGAGGGGAGAGTTTCCTCCTAGATTTACTTCACTTTTTTATCCTTATTTTCCCCTTGTCTTGCTTATTTTATTTTGTATCCTACTACATTATACATATATCTATACTTTACCCAACTGCCTACTTCCTCATTCCCCCTACCCCTTTTTAGGGTGAGGCAGAATAAATTACTTTCTAGTAGCAATCCAAGTCATCTGAGGAAAGCGGAACTATTTTCGTCTCCTCTTCTTAAACAACTTAATAATCCCAATCTATTTATGTCTGTATTGTTAACAGTATAAATTAGGAAAGTTTATTGCTCTCTTGTCACTTTTGATGACCAGGCACTTTTAAAAATATAACACATTCAGAAGTTTGATGTTGTGTCTGTGATGTAGGTCTGTATTTATTTTAATATGTGTGGGCTGTCAGAGACTCTTTCTGGATTAGAAGACACACTCCTCAACATCTAGGTTCCTGCAAGAGTTGTGGAGAAATTGGGGCTGTTGTGGGGGTGTCCTGGTTTCACTACAGAGGGTTGGTAGGAGTTGACGTAGGAGGGAGTTTTCAGGTTTCACTTTTAGTTGATGGGAGCAGCTGCAGGGAAACATTTGGTTTTAAATTTTATAGTTTAGTAATTCAAAGGAAAAAAAAGGTATTTTTTTCTCATATAAATGATCTTAAAACTGCCTGTCTTCCAGCAAAACATCTGCTTTTCCTCATTTAGGTGAGCACACGTAAAGTAACTATGCTGTATTACTGAACTTTTCTATGGAGTGCTTTCACATAATTTTTCTCCTTTGATCAGCACAGCAACCCAATGAAGTAGTCATAGAAGACATTTCTCCACCTTACAAAGGTAGAAACTGAGGTATAGAGAGGTGAAATTTGTCCAAGTTTATACTACTAGTATATGACAGTCATTCCTAGTACTAATATATGTTTGTAAGCATCAGTAAACATATGAATAGGCAGTTTTCCTCAACACTTAGTCTTCATGCTTCTTACTAACAAGCACCATTAAGTCAATACTTAGTTATAAACTGAGTGGAGTATTTACTCATTAAAAAAAATCAAATGATCTGAATCTTTCAGTAGTTGAGATCTTGTTGAAGAAAGTTTTTATAGAAACCTGTACAACACCCAACTTGGCAAGGAATGTCAGCTAGACAATGAGTTATTTATGTTAAGCTGCAATATGACTTTGGGGTAAAAGAAAAAAAAATCATGATTAAAACATAATCAATAATTTTGAATTTGATAGTTTAAAGGTTTGGATTTTAAAACTGTTTCTAACCACAGCTAGGAAATACTACCAATATCAAATCTCTGAAATCTGTGCTTCTATAATTATAATGTTATCAGAATATTTAAGAGAAAGATATGGAAAAGCAAATTACATTTTGTGCAGTGATTTGACATGATAAGTTCACCATGAAATAATTCAGAATGATGATATGCAAAGCCCTTGGGGCATGAGTTTATATCTTTATTACTAATACTGCTTTGTTATTAATACTGCCGAAGAGAAATAACTCACTTTATTAGACAAGACAAACTCATAAAGGAGAAAGAGAGCTAATGACTTCACTGTAAAACATGCCATTTAAAAAAAAATTATTTACTTTTTTGTTTACTTATTTGCTTGTAAATTCAAGTAATGTGGTAGTTGATGGATAAGATTTATTAAGAAAGTGCCTGAGAGGGAAAAATAAAAAGGATGCTAATCATTCATTGCAGAGAAAAGATCTCTAGCCCTGTATCTAGTCTCCTTCCCTCAAACTCCCTTTACCCAAGGCCACATCTTTCTTTTTATTTTATACTATTGTCTTCTAGATTTTTTTCTTGTTTTCAAATTATATTTTGATGTCCCCATCAAACAACTCTTTTCTTTGATAAAAGTCACTAATATTGAGATTATGAGTTACTGGAAAGAAAGCCTCCATTTTTTTCTTCTTTGGGCTAATTTTAACCATTAATTATTATCTTCCAATAGGAGGCAGGCAGTCACAAGAGGAGATAAAAATCAAGGCAGGGCTGAGTGGCAGCTTCAGCAGGTTTGCAAAAGAAGGAAAAAGAGATTAAAAGCAATGTGAAAAAGATGTTTGTCCTCATTGATTTCAGTCTTCTCTTCCTTTTCTAATTTTTAATAGCTATGAATTCCCACATTATAGTAATTTTTAGGTGTGGTATCCTCTAAACATCCATGCTTAAGCAATTAATAAATGGTCAATACTGAAATCAGATTGGTTGTATTCTTTGTAGCCAAAGATGGAAAAGCTCTATACAGTCAGCAAAAAAAAAAGACCTGGAGCTGACTATGGCTTAGAACATCAGCTTCTTATTGCAAAATTCAGGCTTAAATTGAAGAAAGTAAGGAAAACCACTAGGTCATTCAGGTATGACCTAAATCAAATCCCTTATGATTATACAGTGGAGGTGATGAATAGATTCAAGGGATGAGGTCTGGTGGACAGTGCCTGAAGAACTATGGACAGAGGTTCATAACATTGTATGGGAGTCAGTGACTGAAACCATTCCAAAGAAAAAAGATATGCAAAAAAGGCAAAGTGGTTGTCTGAGGAGGCTTTACAAATAGCTGAGAGAAGAGAAATGAAAAGCAAGGGAGAAAGGGAAAGATATACCCAACTGAATGCAGAGTTCCAGAGAATAGCAGGGAGAGATAAGAAGACCTTCTTATGTGAACAATGCAAAGAAATAGAGGAAAACAATAGAATGGAAAAAACTAGAGATCTCTTCAAGAAGATTGGGGACATCAAGGGAATATTTCATGTAGTGATGGGCACAATGAAGGACAGAAATGGTAAGGACCTAACAGAAGCAGAAGATATTAAAAAGAGGTGGCAAGAATACACACAAAAAAGAACTGCACAAAAAAGGTCTTAATGACCCAGATAACCACGATAGTGTGGTCGCTCACCTAGATCCAGACATCCTGAATGTGAAAAAGTCAAGTGACCTTAGGAAGCATTACTATGAACAAAGCTAGTGGAGGTGATGGAATTCTAGTTGAGCTATTTCAAATCCTAAAAGATGATGCTGTTAAAGTGCTGCTCTCAATACAGCAAATTTGGAAAACTCAGCAGTGGCCGCAGGATTGGAAAAGGTCAGTTTTCATTCGAATCTCAAAGAAAGGCAGTGCCAAAGAATGTTCAAACTACCATACAGTTGAGCTCATTTCTCATTTTAATAAGGTTATGCTCAAAATCCTTCAAGCTAGGCTTCAGTAGTATGTGACCTGAAAACTTCCAGATGTACAAGTTAGGTTTAGAAAAGGTAGAGGAAACAAATATCAAATTGTCAATATTTGTTGGACCATAGAGAAAGCAAGGGAATTCCAGAAAAACATCTGCTTCTTTGACTATGCTACAGCCTTTGACTGTGTGGATGACAACAAACTGTGGAAAATTCTTAAAGAGATGCGAATATCAGACTACCTTATCTGCCTCCTGAGAAACCTGGATACTTTGGCTACCTGATGCAAAGAGCTGACTCATTAGAAAAGAGCCTGAGGCTGTGAAAAATGAAGGCAGAAGGAGAAGAGGCTGATAGAGGGTGAGATGGTTGGCATCATCGATTCAATGGACGTGAGTTTGAACAAACTCCAGGATATAGTGAAGGAAGGGAAGACTGGTATGCTGCAGTCCATAGTGTCGCAAAGAGTTGGAAATGACTGAGCAACTGAACAACAACAGCAAATCCTTTTGGCATCTGCAGGTTTTGGCATCTGCATAATCTCTTATTTTGCCCCTCATACTGATAATTTGTTTCTTCTCTTTGTCAATCTGGTTAGAGGTTACTGATTGCATATATATATATTATGTGTGTGTGAGAGGGAGAGAGAGAGAGAGAGAGAGAGAGAGACAGAGAGACAGAGAGAGACAGAGAAAGAGAATAGGGCCTAAAAATTATTTGCCATCTACATTAGAGAGATCAAGCTAAAATAAAACAAGTGGAGAACATTTTAAATCAGTCAGTCTTGAAATGGTGTTGGAGTTATTGAAGGCTTTCTGGAGGAGAAGGGTCTTGAATGATAGGCTTGGATAGATGGGGAAATAGAGGAATTGGGAGGAGCAGGTGTGCAGCATGATCAAAGGCAGGTGGTTCAGGGAGAGAAAGAACTGTAGCTTGATATAACAGAGATTGTTATATGATCTCAGGAAATAAGGCTACGTTTCAGGAATCCTTAATCAGTAAACAAAAGAACTTGGAAGCTGTAACTTTTGGGGGAAATAATATAATAAAATAATATTTTGGAAAAAATGTGGAAGCAGTATCTCACTGAGTGGGAGTGGCACTTGGCAAAGCTTTATTTTGAAGCAGGAGCAAGGGTTCTTACCCTTGAATTTCCATTTTAGGAAGGCCCATGGTATCACTGAGAGTCATTGGTGGCTAAGAAGGGAAGTTTCTTTGCAGAGGAAGATGTTAAATTCAATCTAGAGATGGCAAACACAGAGGATGAAAATCTCTATTGGTACTTGGAAGTATAGCACAGTCCAGGCTTCATGAATTATTCATGGTGGAGGATCCCACAAAAAGAGTACACATTGAGATAAAAATAACAGAATAAGCTCTAGAGATTTTTGGATTTGGGTTCTAGGAATGATAATTATTTCTTCTTCTTTATAACAGAGAATAAGATCTGAGAAGAGGTGGGGAAGGAGAGACTCTGTAATATAGATGGAATGCTGCACTTTAAATAAGAGGACAGAAGCTCTTCTGAAATTGCAGACTAAGATGAGAAGTTGTATGTAGAGATGCTAATAGGTTGAGGATAGAAATAAGGAAATGGGAACAAATCAGAGAATTCCACAGGAGGTAAATTCCCTTCCAACAAAGTTATGAGTGCTTCAGTTAATGGTGCTAGTTAAT